AGCATAAAATGTCTACAAACTTGAAGGCTCATTGACACGAGAATAAAAGGTCTACATATCAAGATCTCCCTGACACGAGCATAAAAGGTCTACATATCAAGATCTCCTAGACACAAGAATAAAAGGTCTACATATCAAACTTGAAGGCTCCTTGACACGAGCATAAATTGTGTACATATCAAGATCTCCTTGACACGAGAATAAAAGGTCTACATATCAAACTTGAATACTCCTTACACAAGCATAAAATGTCTACATATCAAGATCTCTTTGACACGAGAATAAAAGGTCTACATATCAAATTTGAAAACTCCTTGATACGAGTATAAACTATCTGTCAAATCAAATCAACACTCCTTGATACGAGTATAAACTATCTATAAATCAAATCAAATGAAGAACTCCTTGATATGAGTATAAACTATATATATATCAAGTCAAATGAAGAACTCCTTGATACGAGTGTAAACTATTTACCAAGTCAAATCAAGAACTCCTTGATACGAGTATAAACTATCTGTTATATCAAATCAAGACTCCTTGATAAGAGTTTAAACTATCTACAAATCAAGTCAAATGAAGAACTCCCCGAAATGAGTTTATACTATCTACAAACTCAAGTCGAAGAACTCCTAGATAAGAGTTCAAACTATCTGCATGTCTAAACCAAATTCAGAATTTTGAGATTCATTCACTACCAAGACACTTTGTCCGTGAACAAGTCTCAAGGACGCATTTGTAGACATCGAAATTTTAATATTTTATTAATTAATGTCTTTATTTATTTTTTGGACATAAATTCATGATAAATAAGATATATAATTAATAATGTTATTATTTCTAGTCCACCAAGCCAAATCTTAAGATTAAGAAAGAGATTATATCAAATCATAGGATAAGGAAAGAGATTATATCAAATCAAGAAGGACCAATCAACATGATGTCTTCTTCTCCAAGACTCTCTCTCCTACAACTATAAATAGGGCTCTCCTCAAGTCATAAATCACATCTAAGACATTTCAAAATATCCAACACCACAAAAACCAACACCTCATAAATCAAAATCTCAATTCAAAGAGCTCTCAATAATTTTCTTAAAGATCCAAAGGTGTTCTTGAAGATCCATGACATCCAAGTTGAAGACCCCAACCCCAATCCAAGAAGAGAAGAATCAGAGGAGATAATAAATATTGTACCCGCAATATCGGTTGAATGAAGTAAATCAAGTTGTACAAAAATTTTATGTTTTTCATAAAATTTATTGTTACAAGGCTTATTAAGACTTTTTAAATTCTTTAAAAGTCTTAAGATATTCAATTGAGATTTTAAAAAGTCTTACAAAATTCTAAGGATTTTATTTATATGGAACTAGGAATTATTAATACTTTTTAAGATTTTGTAGGATTTCTAAAGAAAAAATCTTATACCAAATTTCACTTCAAATCACACATCAAAACATAAAGGGGTGTATTCAATTGAGATTCTGAGGATGCTTGGATATAAGATAATTTTGATTTTGATTAGATTAGTTGGTTTGGTGTGATTAACTTTGAACAAGTGGTATTATTAATATATTAAAATAATATTTAAAATAAAATAATTAAAGTTGATTTGATGTAAAAGTAAGAGGGATGATGAAGTGATATTTAGTAAAAATTATGTGAGTAGATGAATAGTGAATCAAAGTTGATGATGTGTAAGAATGATTGAGTAGTATTATTTTATTATATTGACAATATTGAGGATAGTGAGGTTGAGTTAAAGTTGAGTAAAATTTGAGTTAAAAAAGGTAATTGGTTAAAAATGAGTGGGTAAATAATTTTTTCCATCCTGTACTATACGTGCTTTTGAGATTTTCAACCTAAAGTATTTTTTGTTGTAAAATGCAACCTGAACTATATATATACAATTATTTGCACGCTCGACTACTTTTTAACCGTCCGATCATCCACAAAAAAGGACACGTGTATGGTCAAGATGTGGTCGAGCGTGCAAATAGTGACTGTATATGTAGTTCAGGTTGCAATTTATAACAAAAAATAATTTAGGTTTAAAATCCCAAAAGCACGTATAGTACAGGTTGGAAAAAATTATTTACCCAAAATGATTAAATTTTTTTGAAAATATTTGTATCCAAGCATTAAAACTTTTTAAATTTGGTGACTTTAGAGGACATTTGTAAAATTTTCATGACTTATTGGACTTTTTGAAACTTTTAGAGAATTCTCATTAGTGACTTTTTAAGACTTTCATAATGGACTTTTTAAACTTATTGGAACTTTTATATACTTATAGTTATAACTACTATGTTTGCATGAAATATTAATAAACGTAGCATAATAACTAGTATCAAGAAGAATAAATGAAAAAAGAGGTTTTATATATTAATCTTTTAAAAATTTAAGAATAAACTCATTGTTTTGCGACATGAGTTATTCATGAACAAATTATTTAGGGTTTTAGATTTATTAAACGAGAAAATCGATCCGAGCTTCAGCGAGTCGAACTCGAGCAAGGCCTTATATTTGTTTGTTAATAGCACAAACTCAAATATGTGTTACACATCTCTGCTACAGTGACACTTATAATCAGCCCAAATTAAGATATATTTATCTAATTACTGATTGATATTATTTTTAATATTTCTTTGCATAATGTTGCAAATATTAGAAAAATATTATTATGATATAATTTTTACAAGATACAAATATTGTCGAAAAACAGTAATTGTATCTTATAACGTTATCAATAATATGAAAAATAATTCAATATCAACAAATAAACTATTAGAAAATAAAATAATTTTTTAATGTTAAAAAATAGTCAGTTATAGCTTTGGAATTTTTAACCCTAGCCCCAATTTCGTCGCCCAAATTTCCGTCATCTTCTCCTTCAACTTCCCGTCATCTTCTCCTTCAAATTCCAGTCATCTTCTCCTTCAAATTCCCGTCATCTTGCCTTCCTTGGTGACGATTCGACTCCGGCTAGTGGTCGTTACTGGCCGCTCGGCCCTCCCCTAGCTTCGCAAGTCCTCGATGTCCCTGCAGGTGTCGTGATTGGGGGCTTTTCTGTGTCGCCGGCGAGTTTGCGTCGTGTGGTGGAGCTAGCTCAGTATGAGCCGGAAGGTCTTCCTTGGTCGCCGGCAGTCGTCGATTGGAGGTGTGAAGCCTCGATCTTCCTCTGGCTGGCATTTTGGAGGTCCTCCTGGTCGGCTTTGCTGTTCATAGCGGGGCTTCCGGTGGTTTGGGTTCTGGTCAGCGGCGGTTTGCAGTGGTGTTGGGTGGCGCGTGGGTTGGGGGTCGGGGTGGGACTCCGGATGCTGTGGCGGTCCTGTTGCGGCGACTGGGGTTGAGGGAATGAGCCATCCTCATCCTCCCTTGTCAGCTAGTGGTGTTAGGCAGCGGGGGACCTGGTTTTTTCGAGCTCGTCTTGTGATGTTAGACGGGTTCGGGCCAAGACTGGTGTGGGGACGGATTGTTTGCCTCTCGATTGGTGACGGGTTGATTCTGAGATTGGTTCGGGCACAGAGTTGGCTATTGTATAGGCGTTTGTGCAGTTTCAGTAGTGGTTCTTCGGGCTTAAAATCTTTCTTGTGTCGATTGTTCACTGTTCGTTAGATCGGGTTCGATTGCTGGGGAAGGGCTTTGCGTGTTTTTGTTATTGTAGTTCTTGTTTTTGTGATATTTTGTGTTGTTTGTGTTGTTTTTGTGTTAGTATCTACGTTTTAGGTTTGAGCCGTTAGCCTCTGTGAGTCCGAGTGTTATTTATTATCCTGTTGGGATCCGACACTCAGGTATTACCCTGTGGGGGTCCTTGTGTTGTTTAGTTTTGTGTTAGGTGATTCGTGTAGTTGTGAGTTGGTCATTCTAGCGTTGCTGGCAGGCTCTAGGCGATCTCCAGATCTGCTTCTCAGTTTTTTCAGTCTTTGGTTGTACTATTTAGCCTTTAGCTGTCTTCTCTTCGCACTTTGTGCGGTTTTATTAATATAGTACCTTTATCGTTTCGGGGAAAAAAATAGTCAGTTACAAATTAAAAGAGTGAACAAATAAATTATTTGCAAGTGCAAACTATAGAAGCGTTTACCTTTGAAAAGTCAAATTTAAAAGATACCAAAATGAGAGAATAATTGTATACACACATAAAATAACCATAAAAAATAAAAGATCACGTTATGTATACATAATGAAAATAAAAATTATACAAGGTATCAAAATAAATGAGTAAAATAATAGAGTATGAAAGTGACATGAGATACAAAGTCGTGTTAGAAAGAAAAAAGAAAGAGAGTATGAAGAGAGTCACATATGCCCAACAAAATTACCAATTTGATGAGATTTCTGCTAGGACTTTCTATTTGTAATTTTGTTACAAAAAATCTCACAATTTAAAAAGTCTCATAAAGTTTTCATATTTTGAATATCGGGTGACTTATAGAGACTCTCAGAATGTTTTAATTGAGTGCCTGAAGACTTTTAGACACTTACAAAAAGTCTTTAAATGTCTCAATTGAATACATGTAAACTTTTGAGAAGTCTCTAAAAGTTTTAATCGAATACAACAAAATTCTGAAAGACTTAAAAGTTCTCTAAAAGTTGAAATTGAATATACAGATTTCGCAAGATTCCTCCAAAATATGAAAATCTTATAAAGCCTCAAAATGCACTTAAAATCTCAATTGAATACACCCTCCTAAGAATACTACTAATTTTCAAATTTACGGTTCGCACATTAAATATGGCCCAAGGTTGGTTACCAAAATATTTTTTATTCAGTTTCCTGAAAGTAATAAATCAAATAGATGTCAGTTACCAAAATTTACGGTCATAGTTTACTATAATTCTCCCAAATCTCTATGTGAGTATAAACATCTCCATATTTACCATTATTGCTGCCAAATATATCTCCAAAAATCATCCCATGCAAATGGTTGGGCTCAACTACAATGGTAGTGCCAATGCCAATACAAATTCATTTGTGAAAAACCATTTGCTCGATTTGTTATGAGGATTTCAAGACCTCAATCAAAAACTTCCAATCAATCTCTATTTGTGGCCACCTTTTCACGAGATCTGGTATGTTCTTGTCCCTTTTTATTGTCATACTTAGAGAGTTGCAGATGTTCCATTCATTTTTTTAGTTGTTTCATTTTGAATTTTTCCATCTTGAATTTTGATGTAAGCATTTATATGGGTTTTGGTTCAAAGAAATATTTTACAATTTTGTTTTACAATTATGTTTGCTAAGGTTCGAAAAGGAGAAAATTCGAACCACCAAGTATATCGCATGAAGTAAACTATCAGGGGCATTAAGACTTCATGTCTGAGCTGGACGGTGAAGAACAAAGAATTTCTCGAGTGAGTCCTCGAATAAAAAAAATTAGAACCTGAGAAGAAGAAGAGTGATATTGCGAAAAAGAGGTAAAGGTAAGATGGTTGATTCTTCATTTTGTCAAATGGGTATCTGTAAGAAAAATTAGTTTTGTACCGATTTAACGATTCTATTTTTCGTGACGGTACCGTAATTAACCAACTTAAGTGTGAACACAACGTTGTATGTTCTAACCTCGTCCTGCTTGAATTGGTGCTTGAATGTTGATTAATTCAAGCAGGACGAGGTACTGAACATACAGCGTTGCATTCACACTAGGGACGGTACCGTAATTAACCAATTCAAGTGTCAACGCAACGCTGGTTGGAACTTCAAGCAAGACGAGGTACTGAACATGCAGCGTTGCGTTCACACTAGGGACGGTACCGTAATTAACCAATTCAAGTGTGAACGCAACGCTGTATGTTCCAACATCGTCCTGCTTGAATGTTATTCAAGTGTGAACGCAACGCTGTATGTTCAACACCTCGTCCTGCTTGAATGTATAAGTAGAAGACTTAGGAAATTCTCAAAACCTTTTTAAGGTGAATGAGAAATTAATTCTAAGTGTTATATATTAATTAATTGAGTTTAAATAACTCAATGATTGTAGGGTTCACAAACATTCTATATTGACAAATGTTTGGACAAACTAAATCAGCCATAATTATGCATTATATATGCTAGTATTGTAGAAGGGCTCGTAGGGGACAAGTAGAAAAAAACGGAACTCGATTCCGAGTCCGTATGAGCTCGTACGAGCCCATGGCGCACGGGCGCGCAACTGGCTGCGGAAATCAAAGGGTTGCAACCCTTGGTGACTATAAGGTATCTTTTGGCCACTAAATGCATCCGTTCTCGTACGGGCACGTCCCAAAAGGTGTCTACTTAAACCTCTCGGAGGTGTTTCCCTACATCTATAAGTACCCACAAACATGAAATCATTTAGTATATGAAATTTTCCAAGAGTCTTTGCATTCTTTTTACAAAGTTCATATTCATCTTGTGTTCTTTGTGTTCTTTCTAATCTTGAGAGTTCCAAAACTTGAGTATTGTTCGTCGAAAGTTTGTGTATTTGAGTTACCGCTATACACAAATCGAAGTCGTTGTATCTTGGAGGCGTTAGCCATGAACCGTGGGTAATATACGGGGCTCTTTCGTCTTAAGGAGAGCGTACCTTACGTGCCTCGACTTTGTTCGTTTCGTCATTTTCCTTCTGATTTAGGAAAAAACGGAACTCGATTCTGAGTCCGTATGAGCTCGTACGAACCCGTGGCACACGGGCGCGCAACTGGCCGCGGAAATCAAAGGGTTGCAACCCTTGGTGACCATAAGGTATCTTTTGGCCACTAGATGCATCCGTTCTCGTACAGGCACGTCCCAAAAGGTGTCTTTTGACACTTAAAACCTCTTGGAGGTGTTTCCCTACATCTATAAATACCCACAAACATGAAATCATTTAGTACATGAAATTTTCCAGGAGTCTTTGCATCCTTTTTACAAAGTTCATATCCATCTTGTGTTCTTTGTGATCTTTCTTATCTTGAGAGTTCCGAAACTTGAGTATTGTTCGTCGAAGGTTTGTGTATTTGAGTTACCGCTATACACAAATCAAAGTCGTAGGCGTTAGCCGTGAACCGTGGGTAATATACGGGGCTATTTCGTCTCAAGGAGAGCGTACCTTACGTGCCTCGACTTTGTTCGTTTCGTCATTTTCCTTCTGATTTCTTAAGCCATTTTTGATATTCACATACCACACTCATAACAATCTTCAGACGAAATATTTGTGAGTTCATAAGATGGGAACCGAAGGAAATCAAACGTCTTCTTCAAGTGCTCAACCGATGGTAGCTGCTCCCGTCCAAGGCGAGAGACTGCCGAAGTTCAATGGATCTGATTTCAAGAGGTGACAACAAAATATGTTGTTCTATACTTAAAAGTGTGGGGGTGTTTGGCAAAGGTTGAAATACCTAAACCAAAACAAGTGAAAATTGGACCAAAGACTATTGATTATATATTTATTGGTTATGCAAACAATAGTAGTGCATATCGATTTTTGGTGCACAAATTAGAAATTTCGGAGATTCATAATGGAACAATTATTGAGTCTCGAAATGCGGTGTTCTTTGAGAATATTTTTCCTTCTAAAGACGAGGAAGTAACAATTCCGAGAAAAAGGACATTCGAAGAGGCCAAGCTACCTCAAGAAATTGAGGATGAGCCAAGGCGTAGTAAGAGAACAAAAGTACCTAACTCTTTTGGTCCTGAATTTCTAACTTATGTGTTAGAGAACGAACCGAGAACCATTCGGGAGGCTTTGACAAGTCCGGATGCTCCTTTTTGGAAAGAAGCTATCAATAGTGAGATAGTATCCATTATGCACAATAATATATGGGAGTTGGTTGATCTCCCACCGGGAAGCAAACCTTTGGAATGTAAATGGATCCTTAAAAGGAAGTATAAAACTGATGGAACTATTGATAAGTATAAGGCCCGATTGGTTGTAAAAGGGTTTAAGCAAACGGAGGGATATGATTTCTTTGATACATATTCTCCTGTAACTCGAATCACGTCTATACGTGTTCTCATTGCAATTGCAGCAATGCATGACCTTGAGATTCATCAAATGGATGTGAAAACGACCTTCTTAAATGGAGACCTCGAGGAGGAAATTTATATGGAACAACCCGAGGGGTTTGTTGCTCCCGGAAAAGAACAAAAAGTGTGTCGCTTGGTTAAGTCGCTTTATGGACTAAAACAAGCACCTAAGCAATGGCACGAAAAGTTTGACAAAGTTTTGTCGAATGGATTTAAAATCAACGAATGTGATAAATGTGTCTATATTAAAGGTAACGTCGATTCATTCGTGATCGTATGCCTATATGTGGACGACATTTAGATCTTGGGAAAAGATAATGGTTCAATTCTTAGTACCAAGAAAATGTTGAAAAATAATTTCGACATAAAGGATATGGGAAAAGCCGATGTGATCTTAGGGATTAAAATCTCTAAAAGTTCGGAAGGAATTGTTTTGTCACAATCCCATTATGTTGAAAACATCTTGAAGAGGTTCAATGCATTCGATAAGCCTCCGGCTAAGACTCCTGTTGATTTAACTCAACACTTAGCTAAAAATCGAGGTGAACCAGTTTCCCAACTAGAATACTCACGAGTAGTTGGGAGCTTGATGTACTTGATGAATTGTACTCGGCCCGATATAGCATATTCGGTGAGTAAACTAAGTAGGTTCACGAGTAACCCGAGCGAAGACCATTGGAATGCTCTGATTCGGGTACTTAGGTATTTGAAACATACCTTGAGTTTTGGAATAACATATACGAGGTATCCAGCGGTACTTGAAGGGTATTGCGATGCAAATTAGATATCTGAAACAAAAGACTCCAAGTCCACTAGTGGCTTTGTGTTCACTATCGGGTGGAGGAGCGGTGTCGTGGAAATCTTCTAAGCAAACGTGTATTGCTAGATCCACGATGGAGTCTGAGTTTATATCCATGGACAAAGCCGGGGAAGAAGCTGAGTGGCTTAGGAATTTCCTCGAGGATATTCCATGTTGGAAAAAACCAGCGCCCGCCGTGATGATACATTGTGATAATCAATCGGCAATTAGAAGGGCACAAAGTAGCTTGTACAATGGTAAGTCTCGACATATACGTCGGAGGCATAATACCATAAGACAAATGATCTCGAGTGGGGTTATTTCGATTGACTATATCAAGTCAAAGGAAAACCTAGCGGATCCGCTTACTAAAGGCATTAATCGAGATCATGTAACACCCCGCTTATCAGAGTAACTTTTTCGCAACTTTTACTTCGAAAATGCTAATATCTCTTTCGAAATCTTTTGCGAATAACTCGGGATGCTACTCAACCTTACATCTTGAAAATCCGTTTATCTTTAAACTCTTGTCTAATACATCTTTTAGACATAAAGAAATAGATTTCCTTTAAACTTGCATTTAACCATATTCATACTTCTCGAAATGGTAAAAACTTCAAATCATAATTTCATTTAAAATGCAAGTTCAATAATCATTGTGCGTAGCGGAATACTTAAAAACATGGTTAATTATACAGACTGTTATAAATGTCCGTATCAAAGCTTGTCTTCATCTGAGTCCACGATCCACACCAACACTGCTCCACTCACACCTCCTCTTCGACCTGTTACCTGAAACTAAAACTCATGGGGGTGAGTAACGAATAAAGATAATCATAAACCGATATTGATCGGCAACTTAAACTTTTCTCTTCTCTTTCCGATAGTTAGTCGGATACGTGTGCACACTCTGATGGATATTTCTCAGGCAACTCATCGGCCTCCATCAGAACTTAGGAAGTACTCGTAAGGCAACTCGGCGGCCTTCTTCCCAAGCGTAATAAACTTATAACTTTAGGATATACTTTGAGACAACTGATGGTCTCCTCATCCCATATGACATCAATATCGTACTCAATGTGATACCCATTCAGGGTCCCCACCTTTTGTCTTTGAAAGCATTTGAAAGTCGATAAGTGTTGTACTTGATAATTTCATCTGCAAGTTACATCAAATATAAACAAATATACTAAGTACTATGCTCGTATACTCAATAAGATTCTCGGATTCTTAAATTATCCACATCTTATAGAAATTCATTAAACATGCTATTGTTCAAGTTAATACTTAACTTTTCTTTTAACTTTT